AATATTTAAACATTAAAAAATCCACTTTTCTTCACTTTAGACGCGAGAAAAGATCTTAACGTCTTGAACCTGTTGGCCTTTAAGTTGTATTTGTATTCATTCATATCGATATTGAGTGCTTTCGTCACTTTCTAGCATGAAATGAGCACAAAATAATCACTTCCACACGTTCAACAGGAGAAACAGAAATTTGGGATGTAGTTCTATATTATATTGAACCAGCTAGTCAATAGTTTTCGCTCATTCTTATGAATTGGTGCATTAATAAACGTCCAAAAGTAAACAGTACGTCTTACTTAGTTAACTTAAATGGCTCGAATGATCTGTCTATCGCATTTTGTGCACTGAAATTTTAGCGTGTCTACCGTGTTTTGTGCATTGAAATTTTAGCGTGTCTAATAATTACAACCGGGATTATATAAGCTCAAGCTTACTTTGACTTTGTAGTGAGGCAGGTTTTTCAAATGTGCGGCCCATTCTGGTGGTTGATATTCCTGTAACACGGATTTTAAGTCATTGTTCTGATTCGCTATGGCAGCAGCCATCCTTCTGAACAGGACTTTCTTGCCGACCCACTGGTATTAAATTGCTTCTTCAAGTGTTATGTTTCTGATTTTGGATAATCTGCAGGTTGCTCGAGCATGAAGATATAAATATTAAAATATGGATTTTGTAGAAGCTCTTGTTGATCACTCTGTACAAAGGCGCATTAATCAACATCACAGCGAGGGACTTGAACTGACTAAGGGACTGTGCAATAATTACCAGGAGGGGGAGGGGCCTAAAACCATGGGGGGGACATTACATAAAATTGATGGCAAGATAGGGGGTCTCAAAGTAAAATTACCGAATTAACAGAGGGGGGAGCTTAAGTTTCATTCAAAATTTTCATAATTTTCGATGTCTCTCAAAATGCTGGAAATCGCATTTCCAAGAGGGATGTTACTAAAACCAGGAATGGGGAATGAGGAATGGAGGAATGGAGGAATGGGGAATGGGGGAATGGGCTCTAACAACCGWGCGAGGACTGWGGGAAACTATACTGGTCAGCGGTAAATGCCAATAATGGCGGATACTGGATTATCAACAAACAACATTAACAGCTTACTCTTCAACACATTTGGTTTTGAAAGTCTTTAGAATAAATGCTGGAGAAAACGCTATTGGGAAGCTAAAAAGGATGCAGTTTAAAGTGAGTTGCTCAAATTATTTTAGTGTTTTCATTAACTTCGAAGCTGAGCTAGCTTTAATATTTAAGCTTAGATTTAATTAGCTGCTATTTAATTAGTAGGAATATGTTATAAAACCAGTAATAATTAAACACAAAGACTTTAATTTAAAAGCTGTGTAGTGTTTCTAGGTTTGTTGGTCGCTGTTATAGTAGAATATTGTATGGAATATACCATGCCATTCAAAAGATTGTTTTATTTTTATTTTTTACTACAAATGAAATAAACTCGTGATATATCTTAAAAAAAATAATCACCTTAACTTGTTGCTAATCATAAAACTAAAAAAACATGTATTGATGCTCAATGGCAAATGAATTGCACACTAAAAATAATATGTGCAGACAAATATAATTCAGTGCAATTACCATTCATTCCACTGGTTGAAATGTTGTTTTTTTCTTTTGTACCAATAAATCACCTGGGCCGGGTTGTTCAAAGCCCGATTAGTGTTAATCCAGGGTTAACTCCGAAGGTTTTTTAAGAGTTAACCCAGGATTAGCGCTAATCGAGCTTTAAACAACCCGGCCCTGGACAAACAAAACAAGTGCCACTGGACTAACTCTATGCCTTCATCAAAAGTGCTTTATTGATTTTCTAGTTTATGAATAACAAATATCATACAGTTTCTAGTTCACTTTGGAATAATTATATAAGCTTAATTTTCACTCAGTATGTGAATATAAATTGAAAAAACAAGTCAAGCTCATGCAAATTAATTCTAATTTGAACTTAAAACTGTATATTAACCTAACACCAACACTTTTATAAATATTTTTTTATAAGAACTCAACTGCATGAGTGGGTAACAACATGAAAAAAACTAAAAAAATATTTGCATTGGGGGCAGGGATGTAATGCTTACATTTTACTCCATTGCTGTTCATTTGTATTATAAACTGCATTTAAGGCCTAATGTTTCCCAAAACAATACTCTTGAATTTTRAAGATATCAGATAACATTTACCATCTACAAAGAATCAGTCTTACTCCCCTAGGAGAACTGGATTTGAAAAATATTGAATACAACTTTCCATTTTGGATGAAACAACAAAACAATTCAACTCTAGCTATTAACTAAATTGCAGTTAAGCTATGATATAAGATCAGAACTGCTATAAAATTCTAACAAAGAGTTAGATTTAGAGTTAGACATTTTAATTATTTTGTAATTGAAAATATCACTGAATATATCTGTATTGTAAWTGATTTACCTTTTTTGTGCAATACATTTAGTTATATATAGTATTAGATAGTTACAGCCTTTTGCAAAAATTATGAGAATTGTCGAAATATCTAAATATCACAATATCGAGTGCATGATGGGTAATCCCGCGTGATTCCCTTAGTCCCTTGTCTTTGTAGCTTAGTTTTTTTTTGGCGACAGACTTATTATCCGTAGTTCTGAACATTTTCTCGATGTCAACAATGAATTATTCTAGCAAACCCGCGTGTTCCGGACAATATATGGATATGGATATTATGATATTTAGATATTTAGACAATTCTCATAATTTTTGCAAAAGGCTGTATATGCAGATACATGCATATATGAGCACTTTACTAGTCACTAGTGAGTACAAACACTAAATCTGTGCAATGCTTTGCATTATTACTAGTAAATAGTGTTAAATAAACAATAGAAAACAATAGAATTAGCATAATTCAGTGGTATTTATGTTGCACACTTTTAGTGTTTGTACTCTAGTATACAGTTAGTTATTATTTGCATGTATCTTATTTCATTACTTAAATGCAATTGCAATTGAATCTAAACTTCATATATTAACAATCTTATGTGTGTTCAGGTGCTGACCTTAACATTATGTCTACAAGTGTGCAAATCTGCTTTGTAAAGCTGTTATGACAATTCCTGGGATGTCAGTGGGAATATTTATTCGTGGCAATGGCCAYGCTGGGAAGTTTCTCTTTATACACTCAGGAGACATGTGATAATATCTGTTGGATTTACGCCCAAGTCGCCACACCTTTCTTTGTCTGTCTATGTAAAAATCAGGCTCAGGACGTACCAAGATGTACTGATCATCTGGGGGGATAGCTGGTTGGAACATATTTTTGCATCCATGACATTTCTTTACATTTCCCCATATCATAGCTACAGTGTATGGAACATTGAGCTCTGGGAGAAGTGGCTTTGGTCCAACAGACTGTGATGACTGTACANGCATGATTTTTTCGTGCAATTTACATGTACAATAGGTTGTAACTTGTAAATTTTTCAATGGTTACAAATAATGTATTCTAAATAGCACAACAAGAATCTATGATTACCTTTACAGATTCTTGAATGAAATTGGGTGTTCAACAAAGTATTTGGCCCATAAAGTAAAAAAATGATATCTTTAATTTTACCCAAATTTTCTATATTTTTTATCATAATTGATTTTTCGCACTATTTCACAAGCAACTAGCAACTAGCAACTAGCAACTAGCAACTAGCAACTAGCAACTAGCAACTAGCAACTAGCAACTAGCAATTAGCAACTAGCAACTAGCAACTAGCAACTAGCATGATATCCTATCTCCAGCCAGAGGGGGAGGGAATTAAGAGAAAGGAAAAGCAGGAGTTGTTGCTAATCTCTCAACACCAGTTCTTCTTGATCAAGATTATATACACAGGAAAACCAAGAAGAGAAGAAAGTTCGTTTCCGTTGGAGTAGCCTTGTGTGAAGGAGGCTAATTATATATATTTACTGGCTGGGAGGTCCGTATAGGAAAACACTGCCCGAGGTCTCCAGTACACTAACAAGCGCAGGGAGGTCCATACATAACAGGCCGAGGGCAGTATTTTCCTATATGGACTGACCTATAGCCGGTAAATTAAACATTAATATATACTGTGGACAGGGCAGATTGTGAAAAAATGGACCGCGCGCTAGCAAATCACAGCCATGCAAATGACTAAGGATACTGGACCGAAAAAAAATGAGCAGTTTTTATAGCTTTTCTTTTGCCTTTTAGACTTTTGTTTTGCACTGGTTTATGAAATCTGGTAGATTTATGAAGCCTCTGGACTGATATAGTTGTACAATTTAATCAAAATATAAGCATACAGGAAATGTATGTGAGTTGTGATGTGTGGAAAATTTGAGCACCAAAAAATCTTTAATAATCCTTTGAGTTCAAAAAATTGAGCATTTTTCCACACTGATAATTCTCAGTGTACAATGCAAACACTATAGAGCGGACTTCGCATGACTGTGCAAAAAAACGTGGTACTTTCGCACTGTGACCGTACCATGCTGTAGCGGTGATCATGTATTGTTAAATCTAAAAAATCTTTCATTATGAACAAGACCAAATTTACAAGTGTTTGTATGTGGTCACCCGACCATAAAATCGCTTGGAACTAGGATACTGAAATTTGGTAGATAGCTACTTTTTTTCCATGTACGTGCTTTAAGGATATCAATCTAAAACATTTGAAAAAAATTATTTTTGTGATGTCACCCCTACATGCACCTGCACTGATACATTGTTTGGGCCCCCTGTGCTGTATTCTTGCCAACAGGCTTCTTAACAAAAGATCAGATGATTTCATTCACATTCACTGGACCATGAAGTCCAGTGGAAAAATACTAGACTAATAAGGTAAAGTACCACGCGGGTGCCTCCAAGAACTTTGATCCCTTGTTGAAAACTACACGTGGGCCTATGTACATATATATTTTTATCAAAAATATAATCCACCAAATTATAGGAAAAATATGAAATAAAAACATTAAAAAAATCCACTTTTCTTCACTTTAGACGCGAGAAAAGATCTACATCTTGACCCTGTTGGCCTTTAAGTTGTATTTGCATTCATTCATATCGATAAAGAAATAATAAATTGAGTGGCTTCGTCACTTTCCAGCATGAAATGAGCACAAAATAAACACTTCCACACGTTCAACAGGAGAAACAGAAATTTGGGACGGAGTTCTATATTATATTGAACCAGCTAGTCAATAGTTTTCGCTGATTCTTATGAATTGGTGCATTAATAAACGTCCAAAAGTAAACAGTACGTTTCAAATAAACTTACTAACTGTTAACTTAAATAAATGGCTCGAATCTGTCTATCGCGTTTTGTGCACTGAAATATTAGCGTGTCTACCGCGTTTTGTGCATTGAAATTTTAGCGTGTCTAATAATTACAACAGGGATTATATAAGCTCAAGCTTACTTTGACTTTGTAGTGAGGCAGGTTTTTCAAATGTGCAGCCCATTCTGGTGGTTGATATTCTTGTAACACGGATTTTAAGTTATCGTTCTGATTCGCTATGGCAGCATCCATCCTTCTGAACAGGACTTTCTTGTCGTCACCCACTGGTATTAAATTGCTTCGTTATTCAAGTGTTATGTTTCTGATTTTGTATAATCTGCAGGTTGCTCGAGCATGAAGATATAAATATTAAAATATGGATTTTGTAGAAGCTCTTATTGACTACTCTG